ACTGTAGATTAGTAATCAGGTTTACCACACAGTTGTCATGGGGTCACTAGCAGCTACTTTGTTTTCCCTTAAAACTGTGCTCTGTAACATGATGATAGCATTAAACGGACTACAACTGATGGGAAAAGTAGAAAGAAGAAATAATAATCAACAACATACTAAAAATATTTCTTTCAAAGAAAAAGCAGTCTATTGAAAAATCACGGACAAGAAAGATTCGGCATAAGTGCTAGTAAACCATATATATTACCTCAATAAATGCTAAAAGCTTACCCCGGTAAAGCAAGAACAAAGACACATGCAATTTTGCTCACTTTTTTCATGCAAAAATTGGGATGTATGCTTATACATATGGCTTTTTTTAAATCCAAGTTAATAGGGAAGTAGGACAAATGTCTTTAAATTGGAATTAAACAAGTACAGTCATGACGAAGTCTGTTTTGAAAAAAAAAATGAACATGAACAGTTAGGATTTGCCTGCTGCAATTCTCACTAACGTTTAAATAGATGACTCTCCCACTGTAAAATGACAGGAAAGTTGCACATGCACATAAACGACTAGACAGCAGACAAACTGTTATATATTATTTACATTATCCATCCCTGTCCAGAGGTAGAAAGGCCAAAAGGATGTCACTGAGTAGTAGTGGCATCTGCGCATTATAGCTGCTGCTGAAGTGCCCAGCTTTGGCCTTCTCCCAGCGCAATGGAGTTTGGTTGGTTTGACCTATTTAAGCAGAAGCGCCCTGACAAATCTCCGCTCTGTTCTGAATACTACTGTTTGCCTCCTACACTGAACACCTGCACATCACAATCTCATCAGCCTGGTTAGTAAAACAGACCCATTTGTGGGACAACAGTCAATCTACTGTCCTTTGGCTCTCACAAACTTGGGTGAATACAGTTTTAGAACAAATTTGCTGTGGGTTTCGTTTGTTTGTTTGTTTTTGTGGTTTTTTTACTACAATTAAACATTTGGTCTAAAGGCTCCAGAATAATTAATAACTGCACAAATACTGATTTGTACTATCTTTGGAAGAAATACCAACAGATTCTCCACTAGCAGCTATAAAAATACAACCAAAGCCTGTGTAGTAAAGATAGTCAGGGGATTACATTTTACAGTTGTACGGATGTTATGTACTATCATCCACCACTACCACAGAACTGTATTCAGATGGTGAAAAATGACACGTTTGATTGCTCCAGGATTTAGTAGCTGAAAATAATGTGTCTTTGAGAAATACGCTGTTTCATGAGTATGTCTTTTTAAAAAACTATTGGAATATGTTGGATGTAATAAGGAACACATGTAACTCCTACTTCTGATGAGGGAAAAAAGGAAAGAAAAAAATGTTTTCCTCTAGCAGCACATGATTCAATTAACTCTTCAAGCTCTTCTCTCTCTGCAGCTGTTTAAAATATAATTATTTTCCATAAGACAGTAAAAATGCTAGTCCCAAAGGCAAAATGAAGTCTTACAAGATTACTCTCTACATTACCAGAGATGGATCAAGTGCTAATAAACACCTATGCACCTAACTGGCAGTTTTTAAAATGACGGAACACTTAGCAGCTTGCGCTGAAACCAAAACTCACCAAATGTCTTTTGACAAAAATAGGCCTGTTTTATTCAGGTGTTTTGACTAGGTAGGTTTAATTTTTTTTTTCCCCAGTTCTAACATTTTACAATTTATTTTCTTCTAGAAGGAGAGTTCTAATGTTGCTATATTCTCTCTTTACTATCTTGTAGAGACAGACACCTGTATGCAAAGTCACGAGTTCACCCTGGATTTATCGGTTTTTCATGACACAATCTTGTAATTTTACATCCGACCACTCTAAGCTGCTGATGCTCCGTAAGGACTCTGTAAAAGCCAGAGTTGTTCATGAGCTCTTTTGGTAATATAACAGCCTGAAGCACAGCTAAGCACCAGCTGCACCATATTTATCTACTTGTTTATGAAAGAGTTTCCCCCTCATTGTGTGGATAACTGACCTTAGCCATAGCTAATAAGACATGAGCTTCCTTGAACTATGCAGTTTTACACTGAATCTTATAAAATACTTCAGTGTTATCCATATAGCCTCACTGAGCTCCTAATGAACTGAAACACATTCTCGCTCCAGTACTGTCATCACAGACAAGGTGTGGTCCAAGGAACAAAAATAATCTGGCCCAACCTTTGCTTTGGCCATCTGCTTCTGTAGACAAGCTTCTTGCTGGCTACCACCAGGTTTTTATAAAGTAGAGAATCAAGCAACATATAGATATTGATGCTACACCCTACCCATCAACTCATCTTACTGTCCCAACCATGTAGTCACAAGAATGGCTTGCTTGCTGCAGGCTAACTGCTTCAGCAGCCACCCCTGAATTGCAGCTGTGTTTCCAGATGTATGTCTAGTTAGTCAGAGACCTCTGGAAATTCATCACTTCTCAACCTTAAGCCTTTAAATAGGCTGGAAGCTACAGTCTGCATTGAAGAAAATGCAGCATTTTTACTTAACATGAAAACCCTGCTCAGTCAAACGAGTTCCACTAAATCAGATGATGGTCTTATCTGCCCCCCCAAATACACAACTGAAGCTACAGCTGGCACAAAAGCAAGGATCATGTCAGCTGTAGAGCCATGCTGAACTGACTTGGTAGGGGGACTTTTTTCACAGGTTACACTATGATATTGTTGAATTTGAAACAAGTCACTGGAGTGGGCACAAAAAGACAGTTTCTGCTTGGTATGTTTTGTATCCATTTTTTATGTAAGGATATTACTTTTATCACAGTTGATTTAAATTATAATAATTAAATAACAGCTAATTTACACTGGCTTACAGTTGGGGGAAGCTCAAGACTGTTTCTCTTCAGTTGCAGGTAGTATATGATGATTTAGGATTCTGCCAATAAGCTAATACTTACAATAAATGTTAAGATGATTATTAAAAGTCTGTCAGTTGAACCAGTACAGTGCAAGAGCTCAGATGTCAACTACATATACATACAAAACACAATAAATCCTGAAATACTACTTCAAAAGCCAACCAATTTGTCTAATTTGTGGGTTAGTACACAATAAGTAATACAATCACCTTAATCATTCCAAATAAGCATACAGCGAGTTTCGTTTTGGGTTTTTTTCCCCCCCAACAGCACCACACTAGTTGTTCCTGATGATGTTCCAAGCAGAGCATTCCAAAGAGTCACTCGTGCAGGAAAACAGTTGAGCTAAACTCAGTTGCCAGCTCTTTTCTAATTTTAAGTTCAGCTTTCCCATTCCGAAGCAAGCATTCTTCTCCAATACTAGTTAAAAGAGCTTACCTAATTTAACTTTCATTTTTTGCTTAAACATCTGGGAAACTTCATCTCTCTAATCAGTTTCTTACTTTCCTCCACTAATTGCAATCTTGTTTTTTCTACGTATATCATTTCCTGTGTGATAATTTTTTCATCATTGGTTTTCTTGCTCTTTATATATTTCCTAGATGCTGGTGTTCAAATTCAGGCAAAGCACATTATTTGTGTTGCCCCCATTCTCCTTAAAAATACTCAGATAAAATGTGCCACAAGAAGTTATTTGCCTCTCTGTATATCTGAATATTTAGCATAGCTTCCAAAATGCCACCATTTGTTGCCCTGATAGCTCCATGATCAGCAAATTCTAGGATTTTAATTTACTCTAACGTGATGAGCCACCCTTCAGAAAAATTGGCCACCAGCTGTCTCTCTGCTCGAGTAGGCCAGTCACACGCAAAACAATGAAGCCTGTCTGACAAACACCACTTCTCCGTTTCACTTTCCTCGCTGCCTGTTCTTCCCTTCTTTCCATTTCTCCTTTTCCCTAGGCCACATCTTAATCCCAGTCTCAAAATCAAAAGGTTTCTTCCTTTCTGTATGGTTCATGAAAGGTTACCACGTCAAACTAAATTGCTACAGCCTTCAGATTTGGGTTACTTTCAGGTTTTATCTGTATTTTCATTCTTGTATCACCACAATCTGTTTCATGTAGCTTTCAGGCTACTTCATAGATATAGGCTAAAATCCAGAGATGGTAAACTCTTTTCCACCAAGACAGATAGTGTAGTAACATCATATGCATACTAAATTCCACTCTACAAGCAAATCAGGATTTTTTTTAAAAGCTACTAATTTAAGTAACAGCATAAAACTTAGGAAGAGTTGTTAAATACTGTGTGCAGACTTTCTAATTTCTACAGTATTAGACCATTATTTAAAAGATTTTACACATCTCATATAATTAAATAGTGAAGACTACATTGGAAAAATACATGTTTATCATGCCTATTGATTAGTATCAGCAGCACAAATAGACAAATTTCAAAGTTTTCCCCAGACAGAGCTTTGAGTCTTTAGAAAATTACCAAGATTATAAGATTATGTTCAACTGATCTAATGGTTTGGTTTGCATTTCTCTGTATAAATACAGTGGTATATTTACCAAACATCCATTTCCTTCTAACCCCAGATCATAAATTTTTGAAACCCCACAAAAAAAAGTTTTTTAATCCACACAAATGTGTTCACAATATCAAAACAAACTTGCACAAATCACTCATACAGTGTGAAAACTGAAGTCTGATAACTCTGTGAATGAGAGAGGTCTGCAACATAAAAGTTTCCATAAACCTCCACAATATGTTCAAGCACAACTAAAGACAGACTTACGTAATATATTAGGTTGCAATTGCGAAGGACTCTTCAGGTTTTGTAATCAGTTCTCTCACTTAATCACAAACCATTAAAGAATTGTTACAATATTTCACAGTTACATACATTGCATAGCTTAGAAATATATCTTCTTACCAAAGTTAAAGCACAATTTTAATTTCTTTCATTCATTTGAGGAAACAGGATCAACATATGCTGTTTCATATGCTGACAGTTTAAGTAAATCAACAAAGATTCTTTTGAAAACTAAACTCTCTTACAATGAAAAACAGAAAGAAAAGACTTTATTCCTTTGAGAAGATGTCTAGCTTACCTGGCTTTGCCATTCCACACCAACAGCCTGAACAATATTATCAGCTCTTCAGGTACTAATTCTTGCTAACTGGAAGGATATTTTCTCTCTTGCTGGATTAATAATCAACTTTCCTGATAGTTCATTTGTAATTCTCTGCTGGTTAACCCTTTGCAGGGCTCCCATTTTGAACTAAGCAGCCTACACTGTTCAGTTCATTTTAATACAAAAATAACAAAACGTATGATAGTACATACATGACAATTAAATAAAGAGCTAAAGAGAAAGTTTAAGAATAGATTATCTTAACTAACTAAAAGCTTATAAGTACTTAGAATAAGACTTTCTTTCTCTTAAAGACTCTACGTACTAAACCTAAGAGCCAATAAACCAATGCATCAACAAACTGAAAGCTGTAAAGTCCAATGGCTCATAAGACAGCACGCTCCCATGAAGCTACTGCTCAACCTCTCATCTTTGGTGTACGTGTAAACACGACACATGCCTGCTGAATTCTGAAAATAACATCTTTTATTATTGAATAGTGTGCTGAGAAATTACCACAGTTATCAGTTTGTGCAAGGCCATCCATCTGTGTTGTCAGAAAGCAAGAGCAAGAGTGGCCAGGAGTAAAAATGAGATAAGAGAGGCCCAGAATAGCTAAAAAGGGGAGTTCAAATAAGGTCAGAACAGTTTAAGATGGGATACCTAACAATTATATGTAATTTTATTTTTCAAAGGTAATAGTAGCAAATTACATACATTTTATCCATTTCATACGAATGTGATACATTTTGGCAGCTCTGTTGTGAAATGAGTAAAAAGATTATAAAACAAACCCAGTAAAGGGGTTTAGAGATCTAGTATAGGAAAGTGAAACATTCTAGAAATCCTGACCTAAAGAAACTAGTCGTTGTTTGGGGGATATAAGACGGACCTCGGGATGTGCTTTGACTGTGGACAGAGGGAAGAGGAAGAGGAAAATAAACTTGACGCATGGATGACTAAGGCATAATGCTGTAAAAATGGAGAAATCATAAGAAAGGGTTTGTGGTTTTTTTCTGGAAAACAATGACTTGGGTTTTTGGATGCTCTAGGAAAAATATAAGAGGTGACATTTCTGTTCAGTAACAGAAACGCTTTCCTGGTAAATTGTGCTATAGCTGTTTTATTAAATAATAATTTTGTTTTTTCCTTAGACAAAGGGGCAGAGTCTCCAAAAGTCACTGCATAGCACAGAAGAGACTTATCTATTTCCCTTCACGTAAGAGCAGTCCTATAGCGAATCTATTTTTACACAACTGTAGGCCTCTGCTCTCTCTACTGCTCTCTCTTCTATAGCACCTAATACAGTTTGCTGTAAACCTTCTATGACATGTGCTGTAGAATTTATGATAAAATGCTATAAAGTGTTGAAGCAAATTTATTTCATATTTATAGTTAATTTTATTCTGTGTGTGTTTGAAGGAAAACCTTTTAAGAACACCAATAACGTGAGAAAGCTACAACAACTAAATTTATTGTTAAGTATCACATCAGTGGTACTCCTGGGTGCTCCTCTTCATGGGAAGAAAGCTTAAACAACATTTTCTAACACATTGGATTGCTTCCCAGAGATGTGATGGCCTACAGAGGCAGTGCTGAACAAAGCAGGCTGGAATAGTAAGTCAGTAAACAACCCTTTTCAGAGGATGGTCACAAATAAGTGCAACTTTGTTTAATAAAGGCAAATTATAGTTATCTTTTGTTCTTTAGAAGGTGCATTATCTTTCTGTCCTGTTCCACCTGACTAAACTGGTGGTATCTCTTCTATCACCTGACTGAGTGGTTGGCTGGAAATAATGGGACAAAACAATCCACTATTGTTACAAGAGACAATGACCTTTCATGTCCTTGGAGCTCGCCATGACCTTTCATCTTTCCTATCCTCCAATGGTCTCTCCTAACAACTAAAACTACACCCCGTTAGGCTGAATTCCAGATTGTCATAAAAAGCCCTGTCCTTTCAAAACAAAACCATTTTTTTCACCAAGGTGGAGGAGAAACACAGGTCCATTGTTCCCGCACAGATGGAAGTTAGAGTTACTAAGGCAACAGCTCTAATCCCCCTTTTTACCACCTTTTTCACATCATTGGCCTATCAAGTGTGCTACCTTTTAACTCATAAGCTCAAAAGCTGGTAGTCTAACTGACTGCCCTAATTAGCTACAATTTTCACAGTACAGACAACATGATGAGCTAATCGAAATTTGCAAAATAATGACGTACCTCCAGCAAATATTCCTCCTCCTGAGGCCCAGTCTTAGAATAACAATAATGAGACCATTATTAGAGGAGGGCATTAAAATGCTGCACTGCTGCTAAACAGAGAACTTAATTGTTCTGGTCTTGTCCATTGAATCAACAACCTATTGTTGTGGACTTGAAAAATAAAGGACTGGAGAATGGGTGCCATAATGATTGGTCTGTGCTGCCATACCAGCACTCTGTAGAATTGTTTTCCTTTTGAAAGTCTTGATGGACTAGTAGTTTTGTTTAAAAGTAATATAAAAGGCAATTGTCTGGATAAAAAGTCCTATTTATTGAAATCTTTAGAAGCAGTTGCATGGATTTGCTCATGACCCCCAAGATAAAAACACAGGGACCATAATAATTCTATTTGTAGAGACCACTGCTTGTAGTGACACTAGATAACGCTGTCCTGTCTAGCTACTGCAAAAGGAAGGCAGGCATTTCCTTTGCAGACAGAAATCATGACAGAAGGTCAAATAGTGGACAGACCCAATTCATCTGTAAAAAAGAAGATGTTTCATTAAAAAAAAAAACCAACAAACTACTAATATATTTGGTCATCATTTAGAATTCTGGGTTTAGATCAAATTGATAAAGGTATGCCTAAGTCAGTCACAACACAGGACTTTTTTGTTTGGTTAGTTATCAGATATTAAAAATGATAGACCTTATTTTTTTTTCACCTCTTCCATAGAATTATACCCTAAACTTTGTAGTTGGGAAACTGAATAATATACCTTGAATGTAGTGACTCAACGGATGTAAATTGTAACTTACTGTTAGCTTAGGATATTCTTTATTTAAAATTGGGACTGGGAGGAAGAGATATCTAAAACCTCTGGAATATTTTTTAACTTTTTTTTTAATTGATAAGAAAGTAAAATCTACAGCTTTTCACAAAATGTTAAGATAAACATGATCTTGAAAAAAAAATATTCTCCTAAATCAAAAATCATAGTTTTATTACATCAAATCATTGCTAAATAACACTGTCCTGGATTTCTCTCAGCTTTCACTGCAATAGAATAGTTGAAAACATATAAGCAATAACAGATTTACACTTTGGAACAGAACTTAAAATCATGTCTTATTGTATTTTTTTATAGTTACCTCTCTTAATGCATCTTTCTACATACAAATTGCTCAAAAATAAGCTGACTCTAGGTTAATATAAACAATCAGAAACAACAGAATTTGGGCTTGCAAGAGTACCTATTGGTACTTTGCTATTTATTTCTAGGGGAAAAAAGTTTACGTTTTAATATTTTCTTGTTCTTATCAACATATTGTAAATCAAAAGGAGAAAAAAATGTGAAAAGGAAAAAAAGGGGAAGAAAACGTAAAGTTAAAGGTTAACCCAAAAGGCATTTTCAGCAGTTCTTAGAACTGCTTGCATAATGTAAAGTTGTCTTGCATGTACTCACAGAACATTTTCTTTAAACTCAGGGTCTTTTCTGTTGTAAATTGAAAAATGCCTAATATAAAGAAGTATTAAATTGTAAATAAGACCTCTTGCTTCATTCAATCCATGCTTTGCTCCATTTATCTTCATCTTGTTAGGCTAAATTAATTAACAATCTCTGTGTTGCACACTTTCTCTTTTCATTACATCAAATAATAGCCTGGATATGGGAGAAAACCCTCACCACAGGGATGTTGAAACACTACCTTGAGGAAGAGTCTCTTACATATGTATTGCTTTGGCAATATTAACTAGCTAGATGTTACAACATTTATTAAATAGGTTCTTCATCACTTCAAAATAATTATCCTGATTTTTTGAGAAATAAAAATATTTTTAAAAAATCAAAGGCTTGCAATAGATCATGTTTACAATTTGTAAGCCACAAGTACTAAAAGAAAGAAAGTACCTAAATTCATCAATAGTTTTACTCAATGTTTTATTTAATATAAAAAAAACCTGCACTTGAATACAAGTTCTGGCCAACTGTGTATACAGTCCCAAACATATTAATGTGTCAAATTACTCAAAGCAGGTTGCTGTACCATTTGTCTGTGAATGTTCTGTATATAATTAATTTGGTGTTTGGGACAGTTTCATTGGTAAATTTGGTTATTTTAATACTGTAATGGGGAGCAATGTGCTAAACTATGAGGCAAGTTTTCTTCCTTTAACCTACATTATGGCATCGAGAGCAAAAGGACAAAACAGTAAAGCCTTTTTTAATCTCACCCTGATCAAACAACCCTCTTTCTCCAATCACAGCTTTGTGCGTGATATCTTTCTGCTAGTGTTTCTTATTTAATTAAAACAGACACTGACAGAAGGACATGGATTAGGACTGTAATGATGCATTTACTTAGATTAATCGGAGGCTCCTTCTGGAGTAATGGCTTAAACCAAAGAACAAAAGGAAATTGTTATGAAACAGCCTTTTATCCCAGGCAAAGGTCACATTATGAGGTTTTTAATTTTGTCAGCCTCTGTTATATTGGGCCTTGCTACTGGAACATGAGAAGTGCTTCTCTCCCCCTCTCCCCCAAGCCAAGCCAGTTATTATAATACAGCCATTAAAGCTGCAAATTAAAATGTCTGATTTTAAAACAGGTTGCTTAGCTTCCAAAACGCTCTAATTAGCATGTTGTGCATTGTTGTGAAGGAAAGAAACCTAAAATGCTAATGACCTGCTGCCAGGTGACCACACTGCTGTGCAAAATAATACAGACCCTTTCAAGTAGTAGTAATAATAATAATACCCAGCTCTTATGAATTACCCAACTCCAGGTCTACCCTGCACCACATGTGCTTAGAGAAACAAGCGTGCATCCAGCCAAAGATCAGAGTTCAGTAGTCAGCACAAGAGATTGTTGTATGTTAACTGGAAAGAAGTCTGTGCCCATTCAGACACTGTAAGGAAAGAGAAAAACATTTGAAACCACCATGGGCCAGGCGATACTTGGACAAGGCACAGAGAAAAGCATGGAACGGAAAATTCTTACCCTGTCAGACAGAAACTACAGATACATTTCTGTAAATCTGAAAAGAGCCAGCCCCACCTTGCTGTGATAAGTTCTGCTTCTGTGCTTTGTTCACAAAAAGGCAATAATGCAGTAAAAGACCCCAAATACAGGTATATTTTTGTCCTTTCTCAGTTTACCGTTCATTGTAACAAATTCATTGAACACATAAAATTAAGCTAGAGGTGCCAAATCTCAAAATTTTTTCACAAGTCTTGTGATATTTTCTT